GGCTATTCCCGGTGGTGTATCAGCCATTGTTAAAGCAAGTGATGCAAGGAGTACGCATCCTAATATTTGAAGTCTTGTGTGTTTGGCTAGATCCATTGCCAAACCTAACAAATAAGATAGAAAAGGTATTTGTCTTTTTCAGTTGTTGTGTGCTTTAGGAATTGATTGTATGAATGATGATGTGGTTCAAGTGCTCTGATATGGTTTATATAGATAGTTATGCTGTGCTTTTAAAATATCAAGTTGGGGATCTTGTTAATATTTTAAATAAGGGTTCCTGTTTATATGGAGTTTGCCTTTTAGGATATAGGTACGTAATTTAAGTTATTAACACCTTAATTTATACATAACTTATAAGTTATAACTCACATTCTGTATATAAAAAGATGCTTCAAGCATTTTATTGATCGCAAAACGGATTATAAAAATATTATATTGTAGTATGTTAAATATTTCAGAATGAGATTATTGAAAGATTCCTCCAAAATTTTAGCGAATGAGAGTAGATTTCAATTAAAATAACTAAAAAGCTTACTAGTCTAAATGCATTTGTCATTAAAAAAATAATGCATTGGCCAATGAGAGAGAAGCCTTTTTCACATTCTTGTCTTCTGGTTAAACTTTTCTAGAAAATCTTATATCTATACTATTAATTTTGATTAGAAAAGAAAAGGAGAAAACGGGTTATTTAAAAAAAATTAGAGATATACTATCTGATAAATTTTTCATTTGCCTATTTCACCTTGATCATCACCAATATTATGTGTTACAAACAGTAATCACGTAGATGTTAAGAAAACAAAGCCCTTTATATGCTAAAAGATTGTAAACAACAATTTAATGTTAAATTGAAGGTGAAAAAAATTTTAGCATAAAGTCAACCCCATATTTAATTAGTCATTAGGTATATAATATCTATAACAAAACTGTTAAAATGAGTGTAATATCACTTTATGCAATTCTACGTATAGTATTACATACGTATTGCTATTTGCAAGTTTATGGTGGATGGGAATCACTTTGGGATGAAGTGATCGGCATGCTCCTTTCGTGTGGCTTAGCACATTTTTGCTGATTTAAGTGAAACAAGTTGGATTTATCAGTTTTACGATCGAATTGGAATCTAATTTTGAATTTTGACTTTATTCTTCTTACCTTTTATTTAATTTTTATGTGGCTTCTCTCTACTTAAAATTCCATACAAAAATTGCAAATTTGAGTTACCGGTAAGTTTTTTAAATAAATATGCAAATCGTATATATATAACGTTGATTAATCATGCAAAGGCACAAGCTAGGGAGAGAACAACCTTTGACCTTTCTGGGGCTCTCACATGATGAAAACGAGAACTATAAGTTAAAGCTATATATGACAAAACGCCTTTACAGCTATGTTTTCATTTTTCTAAATTTGTCTTCTATTTCAAGAAACATATAAAAAACCTTTCTCTGTGTTGGCGTTAACGTTTCACGTCCAAAAATTTAATTGTGTCGATCATCATTTTGTTTGTAATTAACTAGTTAAGCTTTATATGTACAATTCTCTTTGCATGCATGATGCATGCTTTCTACTTTATGCGACTCGGGGGAGGCACCGACTATATATGTCTAATAATTAAGTCTATTGTTTTAATTTTGTAATGCGTCTTCTACACTTTTTTTTGTAGACTAACACGGTCTTAGCCAAATGCATAAAAATGGATTTGTGATTTAAATTAAGATCGAATTGGTAATATGTTTTCTAATTTTTCACGCAAGAGTTATGGACTTCGAACCTAAAAATCTTTGTTGGTCAGGTCAACATATACATCTTCGTAGACTGATCGGCCAGAACCAGATCACCTGGCTTGCTCTTTCAAGCTCGTTCAAAGAAGATACATAAAAAAGACAAGTAGAAAACTCTGTAAAGTATCACATGTTTTATGAGCTAGACTTTTTTGGTTTGTAAGAAGAACAAGAACCCAAAAAAAAAAAAAAAAAAGTGAGAGAAGAAGAACGAGAAGAACCCTCCATGAGGCCACCATTATTAGGTTAGATTTGCTAAGCATCTCTTATATTGTATATTAGCAAATATTAAGCTAAGATATGGCTTAGAAACCACTAATTTGAGTAGTTATTTAAGAGTTAATCTCATAGAGAATTCATATCCCTTTTGCCCTGGGCACAAAAAAACTCGGTTTGTAATTAAACCGGTAAACAAATCAGAACCGGCCGGTTTATTATTGTCTAATGAGACCCATTAGATCGGTTCCATCTTCACCAAAAAAAACCCTTAAACCCTTGATTTGAATTTGGATTAAACCCTAAAAATGGCGAAATGGAGACTTGCGACTGCGACTCTCCGTCGACATCTGCAATCCCAATCGCCTTCGATCTCTTCATTAAAGGATACGACCAAATCCTTTTCTGCGGCGGCGGCTCAGCAGTGTCGCAGCTACAGTCCAGCTCAGACCGATAATGCGAGAGGGAAATGGCTAACTTTACCTCCTTTTTCTCCCACCGTCGATGGCACCGCCGTTGGAAAGGAGCTCGCTTCCGAAGGAGACTCGATCACCGGTTCAACGGATAGCTCAACAACGACGGCGCTGAGGTGGATACTTCGTTGTCGTCCCGATTTACCCAGGACTCTCGTTCAGAAACTCTTCCGTTTAAGACAGGTTCTCTAGTCTATTCGAATCTTGTATTCTCGAGTCCTAATTGCATCTTATATATTTTAGGATGTGATCGAATTGTTGTCAAGTTCTTACATTGTAATTGATTCAGGTTAGGAGAGAAATGTCTGTGAGTTGTGATGGTGATGAAGTACAAAGAAGCCAGCTTAAAAGGGTAATGCTATTCTGTGATCTTTTGATTTGGAACAAGAACTGTTTTTAGAAAGCTGCTTTTTATCTGATGGTCTTGATTTCTGACCCTTGAAGGTGGCAGCTAAGGAATCTTTGAATGTAGGAGATAGAATTTACCTTCCTCTCTCGGTGGACAATGATGCGCCCCCGCCACCTGCTAAGAAAGAAAGCTTCCGTTGTAGTGAAGAAGAACGCAAATTTGTTTGCAGTTTGGTGTTGTACAAGGTTTTTGATATTCTATACTATTGGTTCACTTTCTGTTTTTTTTTTTTAATCGATGTTATTTAGATTGATAGATATCTAAGCTGTGAGTTAATAATGTGCCAGGATCCATCCATTATTGTTTTGAATAAACCGCATGGTATGGCTGTTCAAGTAAGTCAGTTATATACTTTGCATTCTCATGGATTATAGATTCCGTTCATGGAGCTTTTGAGTATTGATAAGACTTTTTTCTCTTAAACAGGGTGGGACTGGGATCAAAACCAGTATCGATGAGCTTGCTGCCACTTGCTTGACGTTTGATAAATCAGAATCTCCCCGGCTGGTTAGTCAAGAATCATAGTAATGCACCGTTGAGAAATATATCTGAAAGAAAGTGTATGATTTTTTTTTTTTGAACCTAGTTCGTTTGCCTTATGCAAGTATCGTGTATATGTTAGGTGCACAGACTTGACAGAGACTGTAGTGGACTTTTGGTGCTGGCAAGAACACAGACGGCTGCAACAGTTCTTCATTCCATATTCCGCGAGAAAACATCTGGTGCATCCGCATATGTATATCCTCTGCTTCCTCTCAGAAATTTTCCTTACTTGAGAAGCTTGCTTTTTATGATTCGTGGGAGACACATAAATTTCTCACACCAATGATTGTTCTTCTTAGGGTGTCAAAAAGAATATAAAATCCTTAAAAAGAAAATATATGGCACTTGTGATCGGGTGTCCAAGACGTCAAAGGGGACAGATTTCAGCGCCACTCAGAAAGGTCAGTCTACAATGTTTTAGCTAGGGTGTTTCAACCATCTAAGTTTTAGTCTATTTGATTTGATCTTAGATTTGATTTGCTTGTTCACACTCAGTCTATTTCTTTTGCTTCTTTTCTGGAGTCAAATTCTATGCTAAAACATATGTGGAATGTCTGAGTAGGTGGTTGTGGATGATGGAAAATCTGATCGTATCACAGTTAATGACAATGGGGAACTCGTTTCTACTCAGCATGCAATCACCGAATACCGAGTGATTGAATCTTCACCACATGGTTAGTGAGACAAATGACATTTTCTTTTCAGTCAAACTTACATCAAATGATTCAGCCTTGAGGTTTTAGCACACTGTTAATTTGTAGGATACACTTGGCTAGAGCTTCGGCCTTTAACTGGGAGAAAACATCAGGTCTCCATAGATCTTCAGTTTATGATTCAGCTTTCTCTCTTTTTTTTTTCTGTTCTCTTATCGATCTGTTTCTAACTGTTTTTCGATTGCAACAGCTTCGTGTACACTGCGCAGAAGTTCTAGGAACACCGATAGTTGGGGACTATAAATATGGATGGCAAGCTCATAAATCGCGGGAACCTTTAGTCACTTCCGAAAACACCCCGACAAAGCCACAATCATCTCCGTTTGGCTTGGATCTGGATGGTGGAGATGTGTCTTCAAAACAGCCGCACCTTCATCTCCATTCAAAGCAAATCGACCTGCCAAACATATCTCAGCTCTTGGAGAAAATGCAGGTTTCTTCAGATTCTGATATATCGGATATCGATAGCCTAAAATTCGATGCTCCATTGCCTACACATATGCAGCTAAGCTTTAATTTGTTGAAATCTAAAGTCGAAACATGTGACAAAAACTAGATTTTAAATGAGATATTTATTTTTCTACACACGAAGCTAGTTTTCTTCTTTGTGTTCGTGAGGCCCCAAGTAGTCACTGTGTGTTCCATTGAATATTTCATTATTCTCATACAAAGATAAATAATTACATTTTGAATGACTTTGTCATATAATTGCATAATCATTAATCGTATGATTAACACAGTTGGTGTGATGACTGATTGACACAATAAGTTCGTTTTGGATTTTCGAATCCCTTTTTGTTTACTTACTACCACGACACACTAGAGTTGTTTGACTAATCAGCTAATTTTTTAATTAGAGGCTTTTGGTCTCTGTTTTTCAAATCTATTATTGATCTTATTAGAGATAATATAAAGATAGGGTGACATCTTTGCAGTAGAGATGATCACAATTAGTTTGTTAACTTAAGAAATAGATCTTCGAGTACGACCACTGGAAAACGAAAGGTGGGTGACGCATAAGCTTATGAATGTTTCAGTACCTAACCCGGAACAAAGACTGGTTGGTATTTTAAAAAAACTATGATTGCCAATGTGAATAATCTTGTCTGAAAAAGAAGCAAGTGGGTGACATAGCGTTACAAAGGTAATAAGACAGGCTTGAGAACAAAAGAGTTAAAGAGTATGTACGTGATACGCCGACTCTTTTTTTACCAACTACACTTGTTTGAGTACATCTCATTCTCACCTACTCCCCCCTCCTTGATCAAATATTTTTTCCAATCAGAAGAATAATACGAATACTTGTGATTAAATAAAAATTAATCTCTTTTTTTCTTTGGTTACAGAATTAAAAATATATTATCCCTTAAAATATACACAAGAACAAATACTAGTATATAAATTATGAAGAGTATTAATTAACCTAGCAATTAGTTTCACGTAAACGCCACCGAGAAACTAATAATAATAAATTAATAATAAAGGTTTTTTACTACATATAATAATAACAAGAATAGATAGCCACCTGAATAGATGTTGGTGTTATATCTTTTTCTGCAGCCTAACTATATTAATTTTGTAACAGTTATATTGGGATGTATGGGATACTCATGTATCTATGGCACTGTCCAACCCCAAGGCTGCTGTCGATATCTATGTTTCCCTTCAACGACTATATATCGTGGTCCATATCTTTCTTTCTTTTTTTCGAGATTTGCTAAGTTTGATACCAACCTCACTACGCTACGTTTTTTTTTTTTTTTTTGGTTTGTATTGAAAATTTAATAAAGGCTTACACATGCATGTAGTTTCAAAAATTTATTTTGTTTCGTTTTTCAATTCAGATTTTTGAGAAAAAAAAAAGTAGTTCTCTTTGTTTCGATTATTTCTATCTTGATACTCGTATTTTGTATAACATAAATCTATTTTCTTTTAATATAACAAAAACAAATAATGGTTGTATCACTGGCAAGAAAGAAAAGATAAAGAGGTTTGGTTGGTCGAGCTTACTGATTAAAAAAGGCATGTCCACCAAATAATAATTAAGATAAAATCTCCCAATTATCTTCTTTTCTCTTGTTTGGTAAAAAATATAATATATTTTATGTCCTCATTTTCTCTGTGTATATAACATTTGTCAACAGATTGCCTTTAGAGCCATTGTTTCCCATCGACACATAAACCTCTCAACACTGCATTGTAGAAATAAAGAAAGAAAAAAAAAAAGGTCGGAGAAACCAAAGAAAACACAAAAACAAAAGTAATGGGAAGTGAAGGAGGAGAAAAGAAGGCTTTAGGATGGGCTGCAAGAGACCCTTCTGGTGTTCTTGCTCCTTACTCCTACACTTTAAGGTTTTTGTTTCTTTTATTTTCTCTTCTCGTTTCATTATGTAATGTAGTTTTTGATTTTATATATGTCTCTCAAAGAGTTATTTGAACTTCTTTTCTTTGTTGTTGATGATAATCTTGGATTTGTTAACAGGAGCACAGGGCCAGATGATGTGTATATAAAGGTTATTTGTTGTGGAATATGCCATACTGATATTCACCAGATTAAAAATGATCTTGGAATGTCCAATTATCCTATGGTTCCTGGGTAATTTTTCTATCTTGAACTCTCTCTTTTTTTTTTTTCAAAAACTTTTTTCAGATCCCAATCGTATATATATAACTTTAACTTCAATCTAGATCATGATTTCAGATTCTAAATGTAAAGGGTATACAATCTTTTTAACTTGTAGTTGTTTCTAGTTTATTTCAGAAGATGAAAACAACAATACACATGATTTAATTAGCTTAATATGACTTAATTAGCTTAATATGAGGATAACTCAAAATAGTACATTTGAAATCAAACCATGATCATATATTTTAGTCCTAGCTAGCTAGATTGTTAATTTATGAGTTTGTTATCTTTTATGTTCATAAAAGTTGAGTACTTAATTAATTAACCATGATATATGTAAGACTAATGTTGTTTATGTGTTAGATATGTTATCTACATGTTTTAAACGATTTGTGGTGTGGCAGAGGATTTTTGTCTAAAGTTCGCTTGACATGATTGTTTGAAGAGAATTGGTTGAGCTACGTACTGTTACACACACTTACACATCTGACATTTGATTTGATTTGCAGGCACGAGGTGGTAGGTGAGGTGATGGAAGTGGGATCAGATGTGAGCAAGTTCGCGGTAGGAGATGTAGTCGGAGTCGGCGTGATCGTTGGATGCTGCGGAAGCTGCAAGCCTTGCAGCTCAGAACTTGAGCAGTACTGTAACAAGAGAATCTGGAGTTATAACGATGTCTACACCGACGGAAAACCCACACAAGGTGGCTTTGCTGACGCCATGATCGTCAATCAAAAGTAAGGAGGACACACATATACACACTTTCTTGTTTCTCAAGAAAATAGTAAGCATTTGTTTCTTCCTCCACAAGTAACCTTTCTCTGTCCAAAGGTTTGTTGTGAAGATCCCCGAAGGAATGGCGGTGGAGCAGGCAGCGCCGCTGCTCTGTGCGGGAGTAACGGTTTACAGTCCGTTGAGCCACTTTGGTCTCATGGCAAGTGGGCTGAAAGGAGGGATTCTAGGGTTAGGTGGAGTAGGGCACGTGGGTGTGAAGATAGCAAAAGCAATGGGACATCATGTGACTGTGATAAGCTCGTCAAATAAGAAAAAAGAAGAAGCAATGGAACATTTAGGTGCTGACGACTATGTAGTAAGCTCTGATCTAGCAGAGATGCAAAGACTCGCAGATTCTCTTGACTACATCATCGACACAGTACCTGTGTTTCACCCTCTCGAGCCTTACTTAGCTTGTCTTAAACTCGACGGGAAACTGATCCTCATGGGTGTTATCAACACTCCTCTCCAGTTCTTGACTCCTCTCGTCATTCTCGGTGATCAGTCTTTCTAGTGTTTTAAAATCATGTCTAGTTACAAGAAAATTACGTATAAGCTAAATTGATATGCTTTTAATTAATTCGTGACAGGGAGGAAAGTGATATCGGGAAGCTTCATTGGGAGCATTAAAGAGACAGAGGAAGTGTTGGCTTTCTGCAAAGAGAAAGGGCTCACGTCGACGATCGAAGTGGTGAAGATGGATGAGCTTAACACTGCGTTTGAGAGGCTTCACAAGAACGATGTGCGTTACAGGTTCGTGGTTGATGTCGCAGGAAGTAACCTCGTGGAGGTGGCTGCAACGAACTAAAATACTGTAACGGGCCTATTTATGAAAGATAGGTCCAACGAATGTTTGTTTAATTGTCTTTTTAAAATGGTTCAGAATCGAATGCTTCTGTCATTTTGTGTCATTGCTTTGTTTAAATACATTGGTTTGTCACAAAAGAAAAAAAACACAAAAGAGCATATAAATGTTTTTTCTTGGTTATGAATAATAGTTTTCTTCAACTCTAACTAATAATTCAAAGTTGTTAAACTGTGACTCTCAATGATAATGGTAATGGACTACCAGCTTTAACAGTTACCGAACACAAGCAAAGGTCGTTGATTTATCGTTATCTTGTACCGCCATTTTTTAATTTTTTTTTTTTGTTGTCAACATTTTTTTAGTTTTTATTTGTGTGTGTTTTAAGGTTATTTTGGGATCGTTTATAAACATTCTTCTTCTTATTTTTAATCGTTTTTTGTCACCTAAATATTAAAATTAAAACTTAAATCTTTCAGCGTTATCTGTATATTGCCAACCTACTTTGGGCTAATAATTATTACAGAAATTTACACCCAAGAAAACAAAAAGTTATAGAAATTAGAAAAGGTAGCAAAAGCTTCACCAAAAAAACAAAAAACAAAAAAAAAACAATACTTTTTATTTTTAATTTGATAAATTAAAAACATAAAACTTTTTCGCCGAAGCTTAAAGAAAAATCTTTAATCTTTGATGTAAAAGAGAGGAGGCACGATTAATCAAAGAAAACCCAAAAGCAGTTGCGTTGATCGGCGATCACGACGCCGTCTCACGAATCTTTCGACTCAATTCATTTTTGCCTACCAACTCTATGCGGAAGAACCCTAACTGATCCGCCATGGGAGATTCCGTTTCTTCAACCCGCGTTTCTGTTCATCAATCTCTTGGTGGTGGCTCAGGTGTGTCTCTCTCTTTGTCATTCCTATTAGTATTCATCTTAATCCAATTTGGTTTCTTCACATTGGCTATCGAAATGGATGTTTTCACTTTCGATTCAATCGATTTCTACTCCTTTCGGTTATGCAGAGAGTCTTGATTTGTGCACTGGTTTGGGTATTTGCTAGACTGATCGATTACGTTTTAGGGTTTTGTTCTATTGTTATGTGCATTTGGGAAAGTTTTAAAATTGATCATAATTATGGAGATACGTTTTAGCAATTTGACGTTTTGTAGAGACATTTAAGAATCTCTAAACATATGACGCTTGTGTTCTTAATTGAACTTGAATCCTTGGTTTGTTTTTTGGTACTGAAAAATTTGCAGTTGCTGATTTGCTGCTATGGAGAAACCGGACTGGTGCAGCCATTTTGCTAGTTTCTTCTACTGGGTTTTGGTTCTTATTCGAAAGAGCTGGATACAATCTCTTGTCTTTCGTCTCCAATGTTCTGCTTCTTCTTGTTGCGATCCTCTTCTTGTGGGCCAAGTCTGCTACAGTACTCAACCGGTAATCTTTGCTCTTTTCTTTTTGCTGTGTTTCTTACTTGAAAAGATGAAACCTTTTATGCGGCATTGCTGGATTTTGTTGATGGTAGAGAATGCATTAGCTTCTTGTTTGGTAAATATACACTGTTGTGATTTAACTTGCTGCTTCACCATTTGAACGAGAAATTTTAGAGGATAAGAAGCTTAAGAATACTGGAACCGTGGTGTAAGAAATGTGGTGTAAGAAACCCATTTATGTCTTTTTATAAGCATATATATGCCTTGTGCGATTTTTGTTGCAGGCCTCTACCTCCAGTTCCGAATATGGAAATCCCTGAGGAGTTTGCGATCAAGGCTGCTGATGATCTTCGGGTTTGGATCAATCATGTACTGTCAATTGCAAGTGATATCACCATAGCTAGGAATCCGATTCGTCTCCTTCAGGTTAAAGTCTAATCTTTAATTTCATTACTTGGCCAAACTGGTTCTATGTTTTGGAATCTAGATATTTTCTGCATTCTATGAATCACACGTTTTAGATATCGTTGGTTTATACTGTGAAACAGGTTTCATTTGCCTTGTTGGCTATCTCCTATGTCGGGACCTTAATCAACTCCCTCACTCTTGTCTACATTGGTGAGCGTCTAACCTTTCCTTGTGGGTTATAATAGTCTATCATCTTGGTTAACATGAGTAATTAATGCGTCTCTGTTTTGTATGTGTCTTGCAGGAGTTCTGCTCAGCCTATCTTGTCCGATAGTGTATGAGGAATACCAAGACCACATTGATGATAAACTGAGTTCAACTTCTAAATTCGTTCGAAGTGTCTCACGAAAGTTTCCAATGCCCGCAAACAAAGAAAAGAAACATCAGTAGGTAGTAGTGTAAGTCTGAACAATTGAATCGTTTTGGTCCAAGATTTGAGAAAAGAGTTAGTTGTCTACTGTGGTTTTACTCAACCGCTGCAGGTGAAAAATACTGGTTCTCTAGACTAATACTACAGCCAGTTTTAAACACACAACAAAGGAGCCGTTACTGTAATGCTACAAGAGCAGCGGAGAAAAGTGAATCACACACAGTACAGATTTTCGTTCATTTCTTTCTGTTTCTCTTATCTGAGTTCTTCGTATGGGTTGGCTTCTGTTTTAGATTCTTGGGTTTTTGGGTTTCTTTTTCTTTCCTTTTTTTTGCCGTGACATTTGGTCTTTTTAGTTTACACGAATGCTTTGTGACAATATTGTTGCAGTAGAATGGAGAAAGATGAAATCTAATACAATTTGAAAGGTTGATTTTTTTTAAAGATTGATTACAAAAAAAATGTGATCTTTTTTTCTAAACCACATAAAAACTGTGAAAAAAATATATTTTAATTATGTAGTAGCAAAAAGAGGAATATTAAAAATTGTAAAATTTGTTCGTCTATATAAAGTTTGAAAATGAACCAAGCAGTGAAGATATGGGGGAATCCACCACAACATATTTAAACCCCACAAAACCCACCCGTGAAGATGAAGCCATATCTCTTCTCTGTTGCCGACGATACATACACCTCTACTTACATAGATTCCCGCCCTCGCGATGGCGACGACGACGCTTCTGAATCTATCATCGATCTTCTCCTCGAGGCTCGTCACTACACACTCCTCCGTTTTTCCCATCCGTCAGAGACGACGGATCATCCTCGTTACGTCTTGCGCCGGAGGAGGAGGAGGAAAGCCGACGATTCTCGTTACGGAGAAGCTAGGCCAAGCTGGGATTGATCTGCTCAAGAAGTACGCTAATGTGGATTGCTCTTATGATCTGAGTCTCGAGGAGATTTGCACGAAGATCTCGCTTTGTGATGCGCTTATTGTGAGGAGTGGTACTAAGGTTGGGAGAGATGTGTTTGAGTCGTCGCGTGGAAGGCTTAAGGTTGTGGGACGCGCTGGAGTTGGGATTGATAATGTTGATTTGGCGGCTGCGACGGAGTATGGTTGTTTGGTTGTCAATGCTCCCACTGCTAACACCGTGGCTGCTGCTGAGCACGGCATTGCGCTTTTGACCGCCATGGCTAGGAATGTTGCTCAAGCTGATGCTTCTATCAAAGCTGGTGAGTTCACAATTTCGTAATGTAGAATCAATCCAATGGCAATTTCCATTGTGATTCTGGGATTTTGATGTTGTATCAGAACTTATCTGGGCAAAACTTTTGAGTACTGTGATTGTAAATTGTTGAAATGTGAGTGTTTTAATGGTTCGTTGCAGGCAAGTGGACGAGGAACAAGTATATAGGTGTATCACTTGTGGGGAAGACTCTTGCTGTTCTTGGTTTTGGTAAAGTTGGATCAGAGGTTGCTAGACGAGCTAGGGGACTTGGGATGCATGTCATTACACATGATCCTTATGCACCAGCGGATCGTGCACGGGCCATTGGTGTGGAACTAGTTAGCTTTGAAGTCGCTATTTCAACTGCAGACTTTATCTCTTTGCACCTGCCTCTCACTGCTGCTACTTCGAAGCTGCTGAATGATGAGACCTTTGCGAGAATGAAGAAAGGAGTGCGTATTGTCAATGTTGCTCGTGGTGGAGTTATTGACGAGGAAGCTCTTTTGAGAGCGCTTGATTCCGGTATTGTTGCTCAGGCAGCTCTTGATGTTTTCACTGTGGAGCCACCTGTTCAAGACAACAAGTTGGTGTTACATGAGAGTGTCACTGCCACGCCTCATCTTGGCGCCAGTACCCTGGAGGCTCAGGTATTACATACTGTATATACGTTTTGGCGTAACTGCATTTTGTTCTTCTCTCCTGAAATTTTACCTGACGCCTAGGAAGGAGTGGCTATCGAAGTCGCAGAAGCTGTTATTGGCGCTTTGAGAGGAGAACTTGCTGCTACCGCTGTCAATGCACCAATGGTTCCACTAGAGGTAATTTCAAACTTTACCGGAGTCAATTCAGGATCAAGTCTCATTTTTCTTGTATGGTGATATTCAAGTAATGAATAAGATTTGTCCTGCAAATTCTCTGCAATTTTTCAGCGGCTTTCTGTTTTCAGGTATTGAGGGAGCTAAAACCGTATGTTGTGCTTGCTGAGAAGCTTGGAAGACTAGCTGTACAATTGGTAACTGGTGGAAGCGGTGTGAATGCTGTGAAAGTGACTTATGCTTCTTCAAGAGCTCCTGATGATCTCGACACTAGACTTCTCCGTGCCATGGTCATAAAAGGAATTATCGAACCCATTTCCAGCGTATTCATAAACCTTGTTAACTCCGATTATGTTGCTAAACAACGCGGAGTCAAAATCTCAGAAGAACGTATGGTTCTAGACGGCTCACCCGAGAATCCAATTGAATACATAACTGTTCGGATAGCAAATGTTGAATCAAGATTCGCCAGTGCATTATCAGAGTCTGGTGAGATCAAAGTAGAAGGCAGAGTGAAACAAGGGATTCCAAGTCTAACAAAAGTTGGGTTATTTGGAGTGGATGTGAGTTTAGAAGGGAGTGTGATTCTGTGCAGACAAGTTGATCAGCCTGGTATGATTGGTAAAGTTGCTGGTATCTTAGGAGATGAAAACGTGAACGTGAGCTTCATGAGTGTTGGTCGAATTGCTCCAGGGAAGCAAGCGGTGATGGCAATTGGAGTAGATGAACAACCAAGCAAAGAAACTTTGAAGAAAATCGGTGACATTTCTGCCATTGAAGAGTTTGTTTTCCTCAAACTATAGGCTAATACTTTACATGGATGCACATAAAACCCCAAAAGGAATGATTCATTCTGTATAATGATACAATCGAGTGTATATGAAACAAATTACATAGTTGATTATTTTCCAACGAGCATGTCGACGAAGTGATAAGTTACTATTGCAACCAGCCAGAGATTTTTTGCATTTGTCCTGTTTTCTCAAGAAAATAAACACAGAGATTGGTGCAGCTTATGAACCAGGGAGAAATGGGATCTGAGCCACCGTTGTCGGGATGGACAAATGAAGATTATGAACTGCAAGGTAAGCCGCAATACCAGCAGCATAACCAGCAAAAGCAAAACCACTAACCTGCATGAAGAAAACAAAGACTTAAGTTTCTTTCTCAGAGCCTCAAGAGTATTGAGTTTCAGTTTGATTAATGCTAGATTGTGTAGTTGAACCTTAGACAAGCCAGAAGAATGTATCATACCTTTCGGAAGTACCAGAAGAAATCAACTTTCTCCATCCCCATGAAGGCTACACCAGCAGCAGAACCGATGACAAGCATGGAACCACCAGTGCCGGCGCAGAATGCTATAAGCTGCCAAAATTCAGAATCTTGAGGGAATGATGTCAGATCATACATCCCCATGGTCGCTGCAACCAATGGAACATTGTCTATGATTGCTGATACAACACCAATAGCACTTGCGATTAGCTCAACATTTGGTATATTAGCATCAAGGTAGTTTGCAATCTCCCGGAGGATCCCAGCTGCCTCAAGGCTGAAGAATGAGTACAAACATCAAAAAAATAATTTGAATTAATAAGAGTAACGGAACATTATAGTTTGGAAATGATCAGTTGATTTAATACCTGCTAACAGATAAAAGAATCCCCAGGAAAAAGAGAGCGCCTTGTGTGTCAATTCGAGATAAGGCCTGAGGTACTTTGAGCTTTTGTCTTTCTGATTCACCGTAATGAATGGCATCCGTCAAAATCCAAAGAACTCCAAGACCCAACAAGATACCCATGTAAGGAGGCAATCCAGTAAGAGCCTTAAAGACGGGAACAAATACCAATGCTCCAAGGCCAACTCCAAAAACTAGTTTTCCTCTTGGAGCCATCTTTTCAGAAGCCAATACATCTTTAGAATCCTGTTCCTTTCCATTTACCTCACTGAGGAAGAAAAAGAAATTGCATAAATCAGGCTCTGTAGTGCAAACATTTACATGACAATCGAACCAAACATAATCTCCCGTTCTGTTTGAGAATGCAAGAAGAACTTATAACCTGGTTAAGGACAAGAGGGCTAGAGGAACCGCAAGAGAAACGGCAGAAGGTATAAAAAGGTCCTGAAAGGAAAGCATGTAAACCTCCATCAGAGATATCAAAATAGTGACCAAATAGGTGAATACTTTTAACACTTTTTTCTATACTGCTATACAGTTCAAACTCTAGAGAGGATGTTGGAGTAACAAAACCAGCTATTGTACCATGATCGCAATAAGAAGCTCCGACAAACCCTTTAAGACATAAGGTAACTACCAAACCACTGGGCTTATGACAACCTTTACTTTCCTATTCTCTCCGAGAGAAATACAGACTGGTCCATGAAGTTCCAATACCCGGAATCCAAAACACCAGAGCAAGGTTCATTTTCAGGGTCTGCCTCTTAGATTTGATATACACAGCTAACTTAAGACAAGCCCCAGAAACATAACAACAGGGAACCTTAGTTGTAAGCTGTAACCTCAGCCACTTTCAGAATCAAGCTCCTTACTAAACAACCAAACCTAAACTCATGAACTATGCAGTCCTACTTCTAAACAATCGATGTTCCTTACCATGACTTGCACTATGAAAGAAAATGAGGTATTGAGATAACATTAACTGACTATTTGAGAAGAGAAAGAGAACCTGCATAGTCGGTAAGGTGGATATCTGACCATGAATCCATAACATCGTTGTAGTAACATCACCAATTGGAGTCCATGCTCCTCCTGCATTTGCTGCTATTACCACAACAGCTCCTAGAAGTCTGCCATTGGTTACTGAGCGTGTCAACTAACACTATTTCAATAATAATACTGAACACAAAACAGACTTTACAGTAACCAGTAAAAAAAACTCGAAAAATCTACATCATGGCGTGGCCGATAAGGTTTCTTGAGAATCTTGAGGTCTAAATCTAAGGAGTCCATGTGTTTCTCATTGTGAACAGCTTAACAAATAAACCAACTTATAGAAGCACCAAGAAAAGGTTTCCATACTTGCGGTATTCTGATTGAGGAACCAGTTTCCTCAATAAAGAAACCATGACAATGGTAGAGGTCAAATTGTCTAAAATCGAACTGAGGAAAAATGTCACAAAGCCAACCTGCGACACCATAAGTCAACAAGAGTAAAGAGAACGCCCAATAATAATAATAATAAGAAGAGGAGACTGAAGCGAATAACTTTCAAGATAGAGAGATAAACATACCACCCATAAAAGTGTCTTTGGCTTCCTAGTGGTGATATTGTCTGTAACCAACTTAAACCCTTGGTGAGCATCAACTATCTCCACAATGGTCATTGCGCCAAGCAAGAAAAATACTATTTCACTAACTTCAGCTGTTGCATGTTGAAGATCTAAAACAGCTATCTCAGTTGAAGGAGCCTGTTACAGGGAATTCAAAATACACAAAAATTTACATCAATCATAAAGATACACAAAAATCATATACATCAAGGATTAGATAGACAAATTGATGTCATTCTTACCCCTATGCTCCGCACAACCCACAAACTCACAGCCATCAGCAGTCCTATTCCACTTTTATTAAAAGCTAAAGACTCTTCAAAGATGATTCCGGCATATCCTATTCCAAACAACAATGCCATAGCAATATCCTGTATACATTGTCCAGTGATCATTACTATAGCCATTATCTTTCACTTTGAGTTTGAAACCAAAAGAACATAGGATACAAACCAAAAGAATCGAACCTGATTAGCAGCAACCCATGAATGGTTAATGGCAGCTGTTCCTGTAAGAGCAGCAGCAAGAATAGCAAGCGCTTTGATTATATCTGTCTTTGGTTGGTAATTGGCCTCAAAGTAACTCGAACTAGGTTCATCAACCGAGCATATAGGGTCACATGATCCTGAATCCATTAAATCCTGTGGATCATATAAAAGATATAAACTTTCATAACTATAGCAACGACCATCGTTTACTGAACCCATTTTAGTGCTACTCCGATCACTATATGAAATGAAACTTTATCCAATAAGAAAAATTTGTAAATCGTTTATATGAGCTGCAAATTCTCAAGTCTACAATTGCATCAAAAAGAGGAAATGGGTACTTGGCAAAATTGAATTTTGGGGAAGACAGCTACGAACCTCATCGATTGGCTCATCATCAAGCGAAGGAGGAGAAGAAGAGGTCCTTATCTTATCCTCGGCCCTCACGAGAACGCTATGTCTGGATAACCTCGAGGCTGATACTTTCGAGAAGGAGACATTCTGCGGCAATCGGGTCGAGATAGAGATAGGAGATGAAGTCGCGATGGCGTGTCTCTTCGTCAACTGATGCGGCGGCGCGAAGTGAGAGCCGATAGGAAACACCGCCATTGGCGAACACCAGAGAGTCTGATAGGGAAAGAAAAAAAAACACCAGAGAAAGAGAGAGAGAGAAGGGGAGATTGAAGTAGTGAAGATGAAGAAGAAGAAGAAGAAGAAGAAAGAAAGTGATAGAATCACCGGCCGTCCGGCGAAAGTAATGACACTATCAGTGGCAATGGAAGTTTGTTATTTTGCAAAATATATCCTTAATTTTATGTTTTTTTGCAATCTAATCCTATAGATAAGTAAATTAACACATTGAGTCGCAAAATAAAATTTTAAATTGAAACGTTCTAAGGTCATCATCAATGCAAGGTTCTTGCACTTAAGATTTACACATGAGAGTACCTTATATAAGATCCTCTCATGTGTAAATCTTAAGTGCAAGAACCTTGCATTGATGATGCTATAAGTCTAAATCCTTTTTTTTTTTTTTTTAAAGTATTCTTATCAGTAGTAGCATGCGATATGTGAATCTCATTGATTGGCATATAACTATTACTATAAATAGTAATCAATCTATTTTTCATATTTTTTTGTTTGAAGTTAGGAAACGATTATATGATAAAAGCATTTAATTTGGTCTAATAAGAAAAACAAAAACGTTTAGCACGTCAAACAAACTATAGTGAGTGATGTGGTTTGGTGGCATTGCTACAATTTAGGTGTAAAAATCTTAGCCTCTCAGCAGTTCCACTGCTCGACCTCGACGTGACTGAGAAGACATCGAAGAAACATTGAGACAAACTTTAGATCAATCTATAATAATCTTATACAAAAAAAAAAAAAACACACAAAAGATTTTTCAACCTTTTTTATAACCCACCCACCCAGATAACCCCAAAAAGAAAAGAATGGGTGAAAACGCACTTTTACACTACTAGTAAGTTTACTTCATCAGCCAAAAAAAAAACATAAAAAGGCTACTACTGCTATATTATATAATCAGCCTATGACAAAGGAGTAAATTTAAAATCCTTGATGATGGAGTGTCGTCGTCGACGGAGACGTAGTGGAGTGACCCATCGTAGCAGGTGACCAGAAATCAGCGCCGTTGGAGTTCTCCACGTGTACGGTGGAAGAGACAGGTACTAGACATAATCCTCTGCTTCTCAAGTCTTTCGCTTTCATCGCCGCCATAACATCTCCGGTGACCACTCCTCCACCGTCCTGACATGCCAGTAGTAATTATCATTAGTTAGTTGTTGTTCTTGTTAGGGAACTGAAAATAAATAAATAAATATTTTATTAATCAGAGAGAGAGAGACTTACAACAAGAGTGTGGTTGATAAGATAAGGAGAGCAGAGGACTTGAATCTGATCTTGTAAGAATTTGATGTAACCCATCGCTTCATGCAAAACAGAAGCCGCATCAGTCTGTCCAAACACATAGAAGTAGTTTTTTTTTTTTTTTAAACCCATTTAATTCTCATCAGTCAGAAAAGTCAAAGTTAACTATTGCAAATAGTGTCATTTTTATGGATATTTTTTGGTAGAGTGTTTTACATTCTCTTTTCACCTCTCTCACCCCTCCAAACAAACAAAAAAGAAAAGTACACAAAAATTTCATTAATGTAATTTGTGATGATGATGATTAACTAATAAACTAATCTACTTTTAAAATCTATTGATCAACAAGTTTCATTGTCTTTGATGGTCTTTTTTGAAGTTCACATTGGATGCCAATTTACATGCTACACTACCCCAAATCGCGACTTCTTAAGTTTCCTTTTGGAAAACTCAATATCAATATAATATTACTTTAAAAAAAAACTGCTTTACATTTCTTTAGTTAAATATGATTAGAAATTTAGAACTCTTGCTTGCTTGATTGAATTCACAAAATAATTGAAGAGCATCATTACAAAAAAGAATCGAGTTATAGAGAAAAACAATTTCACCTTGCCGTATGGAGAAACCAACTGCTGTAACGCTGCGATTCTTTCCCCTAACCTTTCTTTCCTGACCTAATTTTTTGTTTCATCATTATTAACAACACACCCACCAAATTAAATAAAGTAAGTTTGTATATAACATTATGGTTGAAAAATTATGCCACACCTTTGCAATTCCAAGTGATGATGATTTATCCTGATTTCGTTTGCATTTCTTGCCCGGTTTCAGATTATGATCCGGGTCGTACTCTTTACCCTTTCCGGGTTTCTTCTTCTACACAACACAATCATTTCACAGAAAGATAACATATTAAATCATCCTCAGAAATCAGAGGAAGAACAAAATGTTACATGCAAAATGCAAGTATGTTAGAAAAATAGGGAACTTACGTTTGATGGTTTAGTAGATTTGTCGAGTGTACAATCGTCGTTAGAGTTCTTCTTGCAAACATCGATCTTAATGCATGAAGGGTCAGTAGCAACAGAGACTCCGGAGGAGAGAAGAGAAGGTTCCAAGAAGAGCGACGCGTCGTCGTTTTGATAGCCTCCGCTAAAACAGAGCATTCTTGAACCAGTTTTGCCGGAGAATACAAATCCTAAGCTGTCTTCTCCACCATCCCCGCCGCCGCTACTACTACCCTCGCGTTGGTGGTCGGATGAGCTGAGAACGCCTTCCGAGAACATAAGAAGTTCGGAGAAGCTCGTGACTCCTTCACCTCCCACCATAGCTAGGTCTTCGTGATCTTCTGCGGTATTATTATCTCCCATCGTGTTACTTTTCTTTTTCTTGATTTTCGGGGAAGAAGAAGAAGAAGAAGAAGGTTTAGAAAGAAAACAAGAGAAAAGTGAGAAACATAAACCAGAAGAATTATTTTGGTGAAATGTTTTTTTTTCTCTCTTCTTTTACCTTTTTTAGGCTTTTATAACTTCGGTAATTTCAGCCATGACTGATATAGTTTTCATAAATAAATAAATAAACAAATAATTACATAATCATAAGTATATATTGAAACAACACCTGTCTAAATTCTATAAAGGAAACAAAAAATGTAATTTTTCAGAAATTTGAGTGAGTGTTAGAACTGTTCAAATGGTGAGTGAGTGTTAGAACTGTTGAAATGAATGTAATCCAAGTTTATATGACACTTGTATGGATGTTTCTGTAAACATATTAGTGGCTATGAAGAACAAAACCACTGATTAGAGCTGTTAATATAGTATGTTATACTTATATAACAATTAAGTTAAAGAGTGATGATTAGTGTTGTTGATTGATATACATTTAGTCGTAAAGGGGAAGGGGGTATGAAAGGGAATAATAGAAAGTTGAAGAGAAGATTGAGTCAAAGCCACCTGGCCCGAGAAAACTGTAGTTTTTGATTTACTCGAAGCTCTCTCATGTTTCATTGTTTCTCACCTTTTAGTAACTGCTGCTTTCTTTCTTTTTTCCTTGAACTTAGACAAACAAGTAATAAATGTCACACACATAAACACATATTCATATTCTATTCAATAAAATTCATACAATTTTTTGTTTTCTTATTTAAAAACTGCCATTATCATGTTTATCATATAGTACTTATGAACATACGGACACATAAAACTACAGATACTAAATTAACTAAACTAACAAAAAAGAAGCAAGTTTATACTAACTGACATGTACCAGGTTCGACACGTGCAGAGACTCTGCAAACACGTGTGTGGTAGAAAGAAGGAAAAAAAAAAAGAAACTCGACGACTAAATAAAAATATACAAAAGAGGAAAGGTCAAATTTATTCATAAAACAATGAACCAATCCAACTTTGTTCTTTAACACCATAAGCAACCAACAATTGTAAAAGACTTTGGTTTTTGGTTAGGTTGATTTCATATAAGATTTTTCGAGTTCCGACAAGAACCTAAAACTCTTAGGGGGTTAGATTATGTATTGATTTGTCCCTTTGCTACATCTATCATCACTTATACATATATATATTGGTACCCAAACAATCCCTACTCTTTTGCTCGTTATTACTCGACACTGCCACTTCTTTTTCGATGTGGTGAGTATCTTTCATAACCCAAATATAAGATTAAGGATTGGGATGTTTTCGAGTCTAAGAGTGTAACGTTTTATTCAGGAACATGGAAACAAACAAGACAAATGACCAATTCAGCAGTCAAACACATAAAGTCAAGACAACAAAACGGAAAGAAAAAGACACATGAGCAACCTCTGTTCTTGATATAGCTACTAGAGTTACAGATCAGACTGATATCAAAAGTAGAAAAACTGATTGCACCCATTTAACAAATCGTCCAAGGAACATTAATTCTCAGGGACATAACGTCGAACACATTGTGTGCGTCATCCATCATTCAAAACAAATCTCTTTCAACTTCTTCGCGGCGGATTCGTCAATGGAATACTACAAACAATTGAAAACGGATGATTAGCACAAAGGTTACCTTCCTATGATATACGTTTTCCAAAAGAAACCCAGAATCTTTGTTACCTTCTTGAGTACCCAAAGTGTGTGATTGTAAGCTCGTTGGAAGAGTTCGTCGAGGGATGTTTCGCTTTGGTCGACTTCACGGTAATTAACGAAATTCTCCCTGGCGTACTTGGCGTAATACGGCCTCGTGTCCGCCGGTAAAAGCCTCACTAGCCTCAAAACGCCGCCGTATACACTCAGCACCTTCTTCATTTTCATCTACCTTCTGCAACAAGTAAAGTCCCGGACCTGGACTAGAATACTAATTACTAAGTATCATAAAACGTTCATGGGCTTTTTATGGGCCTCAAGTGATATCATTTTAAAGCCTGCAATTTCTGACCGGTTAAAGTATTTAATTTATGGTTTCAATCCGGTTAAACGAGAGCACCTCTATCGATTACACATAAACCACACAACCAAAAAACTTTTTGTCAAAATATCATATCTCAAAAAACCTTCCATAATCATGAACACAAGTCTTATGAAAACTTCTTTAACTGTTAAAAATGAACATATCCTCTTATTTTGAAGAAATATTTCATTCTTTTGCCTCAAATTCGAGGTCTTCTGATTCACAAGTACCCAAAAGATGTGTATAAAACAGAACAACCCCGATGATTTGCGGTCGGGTTTCATGTCTTCATATCTTGGGGTTTTTGGGAGTATGTGTTCATGTATGTCCTTGCATTAGATATAAACCGTCATGATTGAGTCTTAATTCTACCTTCTCCTTCTTTTCCTTGATCCAGGTTTGGTTGATTCCAGTGCTACACTCTTGTTCCCTGCAACTGACGCGGTTTCCATAGTAGTTTGTTTGCTACTTCCAGCAACAGATCTCCCACATTCACCTTCCTTGCCTGTTTTTGACTTCTCAACATCTTCCTCTGAAACCACAGCTTTGCTGTTTGTCGAATAGCGCTTATACTTAAACCAGTTACTAACCTACAGAATAGAACGAGCTCTTAGGAAATGAAACAGGTCGACTAAAAGGGACAAAGAAAAAAAACAATTCACTAGGAGAAATTTCTTACTTGCGTAATTGTCATTCGTAGCTCCTTCGCTAAGCTCTCCTTTGTGGCTTTGTCTGGATATTGATTCTCTTGAAAGGATATGTATAATCTCTGCATAAAAGAGGAATCCATTAAATCAATAGCTTCGTCATAATAATTTAAGATGGGCCTTTAAGCATCATGATAGCTATATCTTTCACCTGAGCTTTTGGATCTGTCTGTTTATAAGCTGAAGAGCTGCTTTTTTCACCAGAAGGTCCAGAACAACCATTTTCTCCAGGACCTTGTTCTCGCACTTTTAAAGTATCATTTTTATCTGCCCTTTTCGACTTCCTTCTAGGTTTCTTAGACGTATGATCTTCAGCACTTGAAGATTGTTTCAGAGGCGCAGTGTCCCCTTCATCTTCTGACTCAGAATTTTCTTTTCCCATTTTTGCAGTTGTATCCCAATCATCATCATCACTTGAGGAAGATGGAACATTCTCATATTCGTCCTGCACATATCATGCAATAGAAGATATCATTCAGAGGTTTATCCAAAAATCAAAAATAGATGTTCAATTATTAAATAACGAGAGACTACTCACATCATACAACTTTTTGTAATCCAGCCTTTCAACATTCCTCCTTTTGGGAACACCGGCAAGACCATCATCAAGCACAGCATCTGACTCTGAAATGGCTTCACACGGGAGCTGAAATTTCTTTCTGCCAGGATCCTCAAGTGGTGTAACTTTTTCTTGCTGATTAGACTCATTTCCTTTGAAGGAAGTTTCAATATCCTCAGAGTCTGATGTACAATCAGAATTTGAACTTTCTTGTATTTCATCTTCATCACGAGTAGGGGCTTCAGGATCATAGTCATCATCCTCAGAATCATCAGATGGAAGGGCCATTATATCTTTCATTATATCTTTCCCTTCTTTAAATGACTCAATCATTTCGTCAGATGCAGAAGTGAAATCAGATTCATCAGAACTACCATCTTCGTTCTCAGACTCTTCACTGTTATCTTCTTCATTTTCATTATCATTCAAACCATCTGGATTATACTCTTCATCATCAGAATCATCTGACGGAAGATCACAATTCAGATTTTGATCTCCACCAGACAATAATGCTGCTGCCTCAGGAAATATTTTCTACACAAAAACTCAAGTCAGGTGTCTTGTTATGTTTCCTCTCCTCTTTTAACAAAAAAAAAATCGATATACATACCTCCCAACTGTCGCTGACCGAAAGTTTTGTCCCTAGAGAATCATTAAGCAAGTCCAAGCTGTCATCTTTGCAATCACAACCGGGGCATAGCCAACCCTCATCATCAGGAGGAACTACAGATGACATAATCAATAAGTCATTTACAAACACCAGCAAGAACTGCTCAAAAACACTACCATGTACACAGGCCAGAGATTATTACTATCTTCTTTTCGCAAAGGTGGTTCAAGACAGTATTGGTGAAAGCCTCGGTCGCAAAACCCATCACATAGTATGATATCATTATCAACAGACAAGTCCTTAGAGCCACATTTTGCACAGAAGATCTGCGATTAATTAACTGCTCGTATTATCAATACTTCTACAGAAAAAGCTGCTTCGATCTAAAGAAACAGGGGAATAAAGCTTGAGTTGTGGAATAGGTTCACTTACATCCTCGCTCGAAATCTCTCCATCAGAATCAAATAAAGACTCTGGAAGGCTTCCTTCAGCACAGAGTGTGTCCAGGTGCTGAAAAAGATCTCTAATTTTAAGCTTGCGCCGCAGAATTTCCTGTGTGGCTCGTTCAAGCTCTTTCTCTGGCCTTAGCTTTTCCAGGCTACAAAGAACACATCATCAACAATACTGAGTGAAATCAGAAAATAAATCTCACAGAAGATACCTATGCCACTAGAATAACGCCTGAATAAGGAAAAGGAACAAATGTCATCAAGAGACAAACCTTGAACCTTTCCATCCTTCTAAAGAATAGGCATCAATAAGGTTTTGCTCATAGCTGATCCGGTTTAGAAAGTATCGAAGTTTCTTTTTGATTCTTGTGTACTCATCATCTTCTCTAACTTGTCCTTTCTTCATAGTCTTATTTCTTTTCTTTGGTCTACCTACAGGTTTGTTATTAGCAGGAACCAAAGATGGTCCAGCAGCTTCTTTAGATTTCTGAGCACTCTTGTGGCTTGAAAACAACACCTTCCTTTCACCACCTCCTCCTAACCTCTTTGAACTCTTAGATGACTTGGACAGCTGGATATCAAATTGTCCACTGCAAGGAAGACCGAGGACAAGTTCGCGATGAGACCCTGAAAATTTGGTTTTGGCATTAGATCTCTTCTTCTCGGTTTGAGGAGATGGTTTCTGTACTTCCTTCCCATTTCCATTTTCCCTAATTTCATGATGCAAATGCCCATCTTCGTTTGCATCATTTGGCATGTTACTCCCTGCCACTGATGGTTTTAGAGGTACGGAGGCATTGCCTTGTTCAGATGCATTGTCAACAGTTGGATTAACCTCTCTTCCGCAATCTACATTTATCTGCTTCGAACCAGATGCACTACTCCTAGTAACCCGTTTACAAGCTGCTCCATTCATTTTCTACAACCAGATAAGAGTTTATTCTGCTATCCTCGAAGATAAAGCAATCAGGCGTTTCCAAATCAGCAAAGGTTTTAAATACGCTCGTAGATTCCTATACTCAAACAGAGAAGCGAAACACGTATGATAGATCAGAATCAATATGAGCAAACACAAGAACCTCACAAAAGAAAAATGGCAGCTTCGTAAAACATTTTATGCGATATCTTTGTGCTGTTCCTAAGACATCTAAAGCTACAAACGTACTTGACAGAGATCTTAAACAAGAAACAAAAACAGATCGAGGCAATCGTTTTTGGAGAAAAAGATGAGCACAAGAAAAGAAAAGAGAAAACGCGATAAACTAATCAAGCTGAAACGAGGTTAGATTTGGAATACCAAATCTCGATTGCTAGCCGCTAAGCTGAGTATCGAAATTTTCGAAATAAGAAAAGAACCCTCACCTATAAACTAAAATGTCAGGTTCTTCGATCTCTCTGTCCGCCAAACACTTTACCTTTTTCCCTCGCCCGCGAAATGTCCCGCGATATTATTTTTCGAGAAGAAAGTAACTGGGTGGGTGAATTGAGAAGAAGAAGAATGAACAAGGAGAAGAAGAAGCCTTGCAAGGTCGCTCAGATAAAGGTGGACGGAGTAACGACGTTATTTGGGCCTCATTATGCATTATATTCTTAATGGGTCTACTTATGAGGCCCATTTATACCAATGTCGTAGTAAAAATTATATAATTAATTTCTTTTATGGAATCGGAGGGAATGGTATTTCGTATTTGTTTATCGGCACAGTAAACCAATCTTTCTTGACTATAAACAACTTCTGTCAAAATGATATCCGCCAAGGAGAAATTTATTTGGTAATTTCTATATCTACCAATATGGGACTGACTCATCAGTTACTGTTAATCTTGGTCGAAAGGGTTGATCCTTAGCTCTTTGTTTCTCTGATTAGACTTTGACATTATTGATCTGTTTTTTTTGCATTAGAATGACCGTTGACTACTGAGAAAGAGATACTTGAGACAAGATAAGAGAAACTTATAAAAACAAAAGAATTATATTAGTCATGTCGAGTAAGATAACAAAAGAGATTCCAACGACACTAATGGTGTTTGTCGAAATGTTAAGGAGCCTTAATAACCCAACAAAAACTTGTTACTTGGCTTAGAGAGAAAAAGAAATACTCTGTTTTACAAGAACCGGCAATACAAGTGTCATAGAGAATCCTTAGAGAAAGAGAAGTGTCAGATAGGCTCACCACCATTGTAAGAGATAGCCTCAAATCCTTTGATCACAACTTGATGACTCTGTACGGGCCTTCTTTGCATCTACGTCATTACCGGCTCCATCTGCAGGCCGTTTTCCTCTGTGGTAGCAGTAGGAAACATACAAGAATCATAAGGTTTTACCATATTTGGAAAACAAGATAACAAACCTGCAAACATAACAGTACTGACAAAGTAATTGTAGAGGCTGATGGCTTCGTAACAACACTGGTGTCGCTGATAAAGGAAGGCGCCTCTCCATGCAAAACCTGTGACATACATGGACAGTTACATCAATTATATAAAAGATGTGAAGAAAAAACTAATGTGGCAAAATGGTGCTTAAGAGTTACTTTTAAGAGCTCAGCTTTTGAGGGAAGCCTTTCGGTTGCTACCAGAGCTGTTTTGTGTGGCGAGCTCTCAGCAAGAGCTTTAAGCAAATCAAGCTTCATCGGCTCTGGAAGCTGGTAAAAAAGAATTTGGTATATACTAAGATGACCACGAAAACTCGCTTCTGGAGTAATAATATTACTTTTACCGAAACAAGAAAGAATATAGACAAGCAACAATATTGTGTACAAACAAAAAAGTTGCACGCAAGTTGAGAGCCACACAGGTTTGACTTCATGCCCTCAACTCCGTTAACTAGTCTATAATATGCTCGAGAGCATACATATAGATCCTATACAGACATCAAACTTGTTGACAAAAAGGTTAATAGATTACACTTTACCTTGTCAAAAATAGGCATGATGTGCCTTTTCAAGAAGTTAAGAAACTTGCTATCCGAACCACCTCTCTGTTCACAAGAGGACGAAGTTAGTTTGATCTATGCTTCTAAGTATCTTAAATATTTAATATACAAGTGCTAGGAAACAATAACTCTAAATCCGTACCACAATGAATGGAAGAGCCACTTGCAGGTATAATATTAACCTGTCAAGACAATATGCATCTGAAACCTGCAAAAATCATATTTGGGCATCAAGAGTAGTTCTATGTCACAATGAGACCTTCAGAAACCCATGCTTCCAACCAAGAGTATCAAACCATATTAAGATTAAAGTATTTACAAAGGTAAAATCTTTGTAGACATTCCCATAGTTGTTACTAAACTAAGGCAACTGTTGACCCACTCCCTTTGCTCATGTCTAGACTAGGAAGAATGCTGGAGTTCAAGAAAAATTCTAACTTAATGAAAGTTACGTGGCATCTTTCTCACATGCTAGCAATGAAACTTGACATCAAACATTCACGCAAGATAAAACAATTGAGACTAACAAATGCAAGAATTGCTCACATACAAGATTATACATGTTTTCTAAGCTTTTTGCGAGAGACAGTGAAGTCTATGCTAAGACAAGTTTCCTTTTAATCTCACAAACAAGCAAAAGACTCACATTCAACTTTGCATCCAAATTAGCCAGCCCTTCAACAATTCCTACAAGCTCTTGCATTCTTTCTTGAGGAGTTTTCACCCCAAATATACTCAAACTTGTTAAGAAAGCCATAAACATCTTGATTTCTTCTCCACTTACATGCCCTAGGGTCTGGAAACATCGAATGAATGTCAGAGAAGGGCTAAAAGAAGAAAAGTCAGGCAAAAGGAACAAAAAAAAAAACTCCATCTGGCTGATGATTGGCCTAACCTTTTTGATTAAATCGGTTATATGTCTTTCAATTTCTTCTTGTGGGTTTAGCAGTTCCCCTTTGAGAGGGAGCACCTAGATAGAATGACAAAATTAACATAAAAGAAATAAGCCTTTCCAAATGGATTCCTTACATTCCCATTAGCTTGCAATACAAAAAAAAAATCGTTTTTACATCTTGTTCTATAAAGAACATCTCTCAGTGATAAACAAACTTCCAAAATAAGAAATAACTCCACTTAATATGTGCTAGTTAGTACCCACTCAAGTTGATTTAGCAGAATATTCTTTACCTGTTCTTATCAATAGGACCAAAAGATTATGTATGCAATACAAGTCTATTTCATATCAGTAAGTGAAAATGTCAAAATAGGTTAGCTTGATGGGAAAATAAAACAGAGAGTTACGAATTTCACCAACGTTAAGTATATCTAAGTATATAGCAGAACCTCAAAAATAGAAAACAACACTTAAGAAAAGACTCTGACCTTATCTCTGATATAGTGCAAAACCTTTACACAGATTTGATCAGTAGTAAGATTAGCCTCAGTATGCTTGAACAATGCTGTTAAAGATGCTGCTACACCATAATGGTAAAAAATAAAACATAAGTAGCCGCTCAATTACCATCAGTACCAACATAATATATATATATATATATATATATATATAAGATTTTGAGTACACCGCAACCTGCAGTCTGTGAATTAGACACTTATGTTATGCTTTCTAGGATGGACTGAGTAAACTTACAGATACCACCGTATCTACCATAATACTGAACTGCCAAAATTACTAATATTATCAAAGTAGCATCACCACTGTAAGATGAATGCAGAAGAAATCAAATTACCCTTTGTGTCCTGCTGGAATAATGACATAAAAGCCCCATGCACAGCATCAAGCTGCTCCTGTTGATCTATGTGCATCCAACATATAAATCCGAGTCAGGTGGGAAAACCCAAATAGGTAGATCAAAGTTAAATGACCAAAATCTCAGAATTACCAGTGTCTAGACATTGTACTAGAACATCAACTATTTCAGATACAAACTCAGGTGTATCTTTGCAGAACAGCGGCAGCTTACAGATGGCTTGAACTTGTACCTATAAATAAGAAGAAGATATAAGTTTTTAAGGAAATACAATATCAAACGACCAAGAAACTCAGAATTGTGCATAATTATACTCTATCATCTTGGAAATAAGTAAAAAATGGCCTTTGAGTCATGTCTCCTCTCAGTGTCACACCAAAACAGTTGGTTTTACTTAAACAGAAGATATACACTGGTATTCATGTCTCTGTACCTTGTCAGAATCAGGCATGATGTGCTTGCGCAAGAAGTTATGAAACTTGTTACGTGAAGCATTTAAATCAGGATATTGCTTATGTTCTTCCTGCTTCTCTTCCGGGGTCTGTTCCTGATTCTCTTTCGGCTTCTCTTCTGAATTCTGTTCCTGATTCTCTTCTGGATTTTCAGTTTCTTTCTCTCTTTCTCTCTCTTTCTCTTTGCCTTTTCCATTCTCATCCATATCGATGATGATGAAATTAGAGAGAAGATGCATCGGTTTAGGAGTAGCCCGGACATTGGGGCTTTCTTCAGGACATACACCCGCAACCATGTACACTGTCGTTAGAGAAACCCTCACATATCCTTTATCGGCAACTTCAGTTCCGTTACTCATCTTACAAATAGCGACGACGTCTTCATCACATTCCTCAATCTCCGCTATTATCACTCCATGATATGAGCAACAACCATAGGATTTTGGTCCCGGACCCGAATAAATCTGATCTCCTGGTTTCCACAACTCATCTTCAAAAGTAACTAAGTCTGCTCCTATAGGATACTTTGGAAGTAGTAGCAATGCTTCCTCCAATGAGTCGATGGTTCGAATCGACTTTATTCTTCTTTTGTGCATCTGTGGTTCGTCTGCATTTGGAGGCTCATAGTCCTGACAATCAAACTCTTTGCAGATTTCCAAAGGAATCCCTTTTTCTTTTATGTATAACAGGCAATCCTTCATTGAATTTCCATAACAATCGTGTCCTTCCGCAGCTTGTTCATCACGATCAAGATATTCAGGACGGCAAAAAGCGCATAGGTACCATGCACAAAGAGGAATATATCTTTCCTCCCAATTGCGCATAATCATAGTAGCACTAACTAAGTCTGAAGACGCATAGGCCCAACAAATCAGGTGTAAGAACTGATTTCTTATGTAACCTAGGATTACTTTCCATGACTTGGTCGTCAGAAATTTTAATAATTTCTACAAAGAAGAAAAAACATAGGTAATTAGGTAAAGGTAGAGTTGTGGAGATAACTCTTAATAATTTCTTAAAAGATAATAATGAGAATATTAAAATATAGAATGTTACCTTTTTGTTTATCTTCCAAAGGATACAAGCAAGTTCATGATCGTCATATAAGGTAAATTTAGTCACTGGCGACGTATCTTTTGCTAGTCTAAGTCCAGATAAACCCACAAGCTCTTCAACATGGAAATCTTCTAAAAAGCAGATTCCCGTCTTATCTAGTCCAAAGAGTACGTGCTCAGGAAGATGTTCCATAAGATTCTCAAACGCCTCCATATTAGGAGGGACTGGAAGGTTTTCGTTAGACGTTGAGCCTCTGTAACTGAAAAAAATAAATAAGAAACGAAGATGAGCAATGATGAGCGTTTACCATATTTGGAAAACAGATAAGAAACCTGTAAAACTAACAATACTGGTCCTGCATAGGTTAATGGCTTTGTGGCTTCTTTCCAAGAAAGCTTTACAACACGGGTGTCCCCGATCAAGGAAGGCGTTTCTGCATGCAAAACCTGTAACATACATGGACACCACAGTTTACCCTGAATTGCCTAGAGAAAAAGAGGGGAAAAGAAGAAGAGGGTATAGCTCTGTTTTTCACCTCTGTCATTGCGAGAATGTTAATGCATGACCTTATTTTAGTTTTTATATCCTGTCTGTTCGTATACTGAAAGGGTACTTTCGTTAGATGAACCCCAAAATAGAAAAGAGAAGTAGTGGAAAGGGAAAAAAGTGAGTATTTCTCACCAAGTCTGCCTCCTCGTCACCATTCATAGGATTAGAAGCCAAATTGGCTTTGTCATTGTCACTCATCTCCTGTATCAGTTTCTCCATTGATGCTTTGATTAGTTCCTCAAGATCTGTCAATCTGCACTTACGCTTATTTTTATTAAAACAGTGTTCTTGAAACAAAACACCAATAAAACTCTTACAAGAAGAAATAAAACCCATACCTCTCAGTGAATTCTTTGTATAACTTCGGTAAATCATCCCCTATTCTATCTGATGGTATCCTGGTCACAAATTTGTACCCGCATAAGCTGTTTGTTGCATAAGGAACCTACATGTTCAACAATAACAGATTAGTAAGAAGAAATAAAAAGGACCTAACCAAGCAGATCAAAATAGTTGGACAACCTTGTGCGCCATATGATGAAACATGTATAATAAGCACTCAACATATATGGAGTCCAATTTTTCCACAGTCATCTTGGCAGGCATGTATTTCTGAAAGAAAATGATAATAGTAAATATGATATGACATCAAATATGTTAAGACAATAAATGTTGTGGCAAGACGCTGCTTAAAGTTACCTTTAAAAGCTGAACTATCGAGGGAAGCATCTGGACTGCATCCAGAAATGTTGTGTGTGGCGAGCTCTCAGCAAGAGCTTTAAGCAAATCAAGCTTCATCGACCCTGGAAGCTGGTAGAAAAGGATTTAACAAGGAAGAAGATAGTCAAGCAACAATATTATGTAGAAACAAAAAAAGTTGCACGCAAGTTGAGAGCAACTCAGGTTTGAGTTCATGCCCTCAACTCCATTAACTAGCCTATTCTTAATTTTCCTAGGAGAATGTACATTCTAAAATACTGTCAACATATCAACGGAAATGTTTGATTGTACCTTGTCAAAATCGGGCATGATGTGCTTTTTCAAGAAATTAAGAAATTTCGTATCTGTACCACATCTCTGTTCATAACAGGACAAAGTTAGTAAGATCTATGGTTTACAGCATCTTAAATATTTAACATACAAGTCCTAAGCAGCTATAACTCTGAATCCGTACCACACTGAATGGAAGAGCCGATTGCAGGTATGGTATCAACCTCTCAACAAAATCTGCATCTTGAATCTGCGAAAACCATATTAGGACATCAGAAGTAGTCCTGTGGCACAATAATGAAATCATATAAATAGAAACTTCAGAAACTCATGCTAGCAACTATGAGTATCTACCATATTAGGATTAGAGTAATTACTAATGTAAATCTTTGTATACATTCCCACAGTTAATAAACTGAGACAACTGTTGACCCACTCCCTTTGCTCATTTCTAGACTAGTCAGTATTCTAGAGTTCAAGAAAATAAATGTAACGTAATGAAATTTTAGTGGCATCCTTCTCAGTTTTCACATATACTACCAATGAGACTTCAGATCAAACATTCACACAAGATAAAACATTGGAGACTAACACATGTAATAATTGCACACATAAAGATTGTATATCTGTTCTAAGCTTATTGCCAGAGAGAGGGTGAAGTCTATTCTAATACAAGTATCATTATAATCTCACAAACATGAAAACTACTCACATTAAACTTTGCATCCAAATCAACCTGCCGTTCAACAATTTCTACAAGTTCGGGTATTCTTTCTTGAGGAGCTTTCAGTCCAAATTTACTCAAACTTGTCAAGAAATTCGTAACCATCTTGATTTCATCTCCCCTTACTTTCCCTAGGCTCTGGAAAAGATGGAAGAATGTCAGAGAAGGGCTATAAGAAGAAAGCAAGGCAAAGAGAAACAGTGGCTAATGATAATTGGCCTAACCTTTTCGATTAAATTGTGTAATGTGTTATGCTGAAATAGTGTCAAAAACGTCTCATGTACAGCATCAAGCTGCTCCTGTTGATCTATGTGCATGCATCATATAAGTCTGAGTCAGATGGTAAAAACTAAATAGGTAAACTTAGAGTTAAATGACCAAAATATCAGAATTACCAGTATCTAGACACCAGACTAGGACACCAATTATGTCAGATACAAGCTCAGGTGTAAATTTACAGAACAGCGGAAGCTTCTTGATGGCTTGAACTCGTATCTACAAATAAGAAGAACACGAGAAGTTTATAAAGAAAGAACAATATCAGACAACCAAGAAACTGAGAATTGTGCAGAATCAGGTGTTTCCTCTTGGAAATAAGAAAAAATTGTCCCGAGTCCCAGTCCCTCTCAATGTGTCACGCCAAAACAAACAGTTAAGAACAACACACAGAGAAATCATGCAAAAACTTGATTTAATACTGTATCTTTCTTGGTTTAACACAGAGAAATCAAAAAATAATTTATCCTCCGTGAAACTAAGTTTAAGCATTACAAAGTAGTCTGAAGTTCCCTTCTGGATACACAAGCGCAACGAAATCTACAGTGTACTTGTAGATAATTTGCATATGTTAAAAAGACTTTGTGTACATACCTTAGGACCCACTTTCTCGATTATAGCTTTGTACGCCTTAAAAGCTTGCTTTGAGTGAGTGTGGAAAAAGTGGAAGTACTTAGTAATTAGCTCAGCTCCAAGCTCCATGGTCTCGATGCTCCTTTTGGAGAAGTTGATAATCCCTTCATATTCTCTAACACACTGCAATTTAAGAGGAAGTTTACTGTCTTAGAAACACTCTAAACCCTAAGTAACAAAGCAATCCCCAAACATGAATGAAACCAGTAACCATTTTCAAGCCAGTAACCATTGAGGAAAACAGCGATTAACAACAAAATCGAAACAGAGAACGATCGATAATGATTTCAAAACCTGAGACTTGTCCGTAGACTCTCTCAGGCTCTGTTCAAACTCCCAAAGCTTCGCTATGTGATTGGCATCTTCGGAAGACTGTTCTACCATGACGAAAAGTTCGAACTGGAGCTGAAATCGAGAAAACCCAAGCACATCAGTGTATATTTACACAATTTCGGCTGAGGAAAACACAAGCGAATGATAGAAATCTGAAAATACCAAAAGATATACAAAATGGTTACAGAGATTGAAAGAATCGAATCTGTTCTCTCTCACTCAACAAATCAACCCTCACACTCACAAGGAGATCTCGTGTTCTTCAAGCTCTCGTCGTCACGCTTGGAAAAAAAACGACAACGAAAACAATGCAGAAAAAGAAAGTAAACAACGTCTCTCTTATCTTTAGCTCAGTAACGGCAAACCTTCTAAATCATCTGGTAGCTTTGCTTTACTCTTTGCCAAAGATCTTCAGCTCACGGCAAACCTTCTGAATCATCTAGTAGCTTTGCTTTACTCTTTCGCAACCCTCGCCACCTCAGCTAAAAATTACCCTTTTTGGCATTTTGGTGTGTTCAATGAATTAGCCCTTAACGGCAAACGCTTCAAACTGGGCGGGAAAATTTCCCTCCTTCAACTTAAATCTACAAAGTTCTATAGCGAGGCATACATACCTATCAAGTGTGAAGTGAACAAAGCCGGCCGTAGGGCCCATGATGAACCAAAGAATGAATTACAAACTATCTTTGCAGTTTGAGTTTAGAAGGCCTAAAGGAGGCCCATATAAAATCTGTCCCAGCGTATAAATTAATAAATACAATAAAAAGGCATATATTATCGCCTGGACAAACCTGCTAAATTGATCAAAAAATTCATCAACCCGTCGCTGCTCCGAAATTTTTGAACCACAAGGATATGACGACTATGTCGGAAGATGAACGGAATGAGTTTGTCCGTATGCGGAAGGAATACTGGCGTCGAGTGGCCGAATGCGATGTACGTGTACTTGTTTGTTTTCTTAATATATCTAATATGTTTAATTTCTAGGGTTTTGATTGGGAACAAGGAGCTATTATTAAATTTGAGAGATTCTTTGCTTAGGGTTTCGATATGGAGGGTGTAATAATACCAAGAGGAATCGCTGGACTGTCGTACGCCAACTGTAAACACCGACATTTTAGGCTTAAGGCTTCTTTACCCAAGATTTATGCTATTGCGGGGCTTCATCGTTACAACATGCTCAAGGTTAATGTTAATGTTGATATGATATATACTGTACTTGTTCAATATATATAAATATTATTGTTTAATCTATTATATATACTTACTTTTTCAACTGGATATCTTTCTCAGGGGACAAATTTCCAGTACTTTGACTTACTTAAATACAGCAAGGCAGGGTACTGTGTGCGGTCTTTCTTCATAACTTTGGCTGCAATAGATCCTTGCAGCCAATTGCAGAAAACCTTTCAGGTTCGACTTGATGAAAAGACCTATGGAAAACTGGATTTGACGATCTCTATTGCCAGACCTACCGATGAAGAGAAAGGTGATTCAATTGGATCACCTCGATCTAGTGCATTGTTCTCTTCATTTCTTTACAGTATAAAATCTAACTACTGACTATTGTTAATAATGTTGCCTAGTGACCACGAACAAGCGTTTCAGAGTTCACTTTCATGGTGAAGCAGTGGCCGATGCTTTCTACAAAGGTGCATTGCCAGATTGGCCCTCTGCTGATGAGCTTAATAATCAAAAACGATTTTACCTGGTAAGATTTATTAAGACACTGACCATGATCACTTTTTTTGCTTTGCTCATTCTCAGTTAAGCAGTGTGATCTGCTTTTATTGTTGCTTTTGGTAGGTGACTGAATCAGACTTGCTAGCCAATGACTGGATTCGCTTGTATTTGGAACTTACACTCTGTGTACGACATAAGGGGACTTCAGAGGTTTTTGTGTTTCTTTGTCATGCATAACACGTGCCTTTTTTTGTTGATAATTTACTTAACAGGTTGGTTTTTGTTGTTGTTGCATACAGAGAGATCTGTCCAAATTGCAGATTCTGACAGTGGCTATAGAAACTAAGGAAGATGTGCAGCCGCCTAATGCGCGACTCAAGGCCAAAAGTGCCATTGTCTACATCACGTTTAAGGGGTTGGCCGAGGCTGAGATTGGTGATGAGATTGGCGAACATGTTGAACGCAAAGCTATTGTTAGAAGAGTCCTGGATGAGTGTTCAGGGTACTTGACTCTCCGCGGTGGGTTTTCGAATGGAGAAAAGCCTCTGCATACTGCTGAGCAAACTGTGACTCTACCGAGTGGAGAAGATCAAAATTTGGAGAATGACTGCAAGCGATCCCGCTTAGACTAACTAAGTTACACCAGATAATAAACTTAAAGTTGTTCTGTTACGTGGATTTTGTTTCTGTGTGGTTTTTTTAAGTGCACCGCGTTTCTGAATACAATAAGCAAACTTAATTATAAATTGTCTACCCGTTATGCATCTTGAAGTAGGTTGTGAAAGAGAAGCCATAGATTTGAATTCCAGAAACACATTACAGAGATTGAGAAGACGAGCTGTGTGCAAAATCCTCGTGAAAGAGATGCAAACCCAATAAATATTTTGATGTCGAGTTTTAAACATTTCACCAAATCCTCTGATTTTTTTTTTTTAATGTTGGCTATTTTTGTGAGCTTCGTTTGGTGGTCCTTCACGACGATGGCTTGCTTGCTTTATTTAAGAGCAAGTCAGAATGCTTGCTTTCCTGAAACTAATTATGTGAAAGTATTACAAATCGAATTGAGCGAAGAACAACCAAACTAAATATATCATTGTACTGAGAATGTCTCCTTTGCTCTATTAATATGTTTCTATTCAGATTATTCTTTTGTTTCTCTCACACGCATGAAAATATACAAGGCGCTTCACAAATCGCAACCCATCTTTTTTTATGAACGTAGTCTTCACTTAACTCCTCTAATGTAAAACTTTTATATTATTTTTTGCCCCTCCAAGAATGTCATTTACAGGATAAAGATGTTTGATTGCACTTTCTCTATAGAGATCTCTTACAATATACACTATGATGCGTACAGAAGTTGGTTCCAAGTATATATATCGGGCAATCTTGGGAGGCACCAACGGCTGCAATCGGTTCCTCCGTCCTCCATCAAGGATGAGCATCTTGGGAGGCACCAACGGCTGAAACAAAGTTTTGATATTAAGCAACAACACACAATTCTTGAAGATGGAGGTTGACCACTTGGGTAACTTGATGATCCACGCAATGGCTCCTTTGTTCTTTTTAATTTTTTGTTTTCTCCTCTTTAACAGAAAAAAAAAAGCCAGTGTTCTTGGTTTAGTTGCTGACTTAATAAGTCCACTATTCTTTTATGTTATACTATTTTTTTTTAACTTGTTTTACAAGAGTATTCTGTATAAATATAAATTATCTAAGTAACAATATTATTAAGATGTATATACATTAACAAATTACATATTCTTGATATGAGATATGGGTTAGGGTTGGGGGAGCCGTGGCAAAACTATAAACGAATAAGAATAATAATATGACAAAACTATATATATACGCTTATTTAATAAATGATTAATGGTTTAATTAATTATAAATTAAGGGTAGATTTTTGGAATTCTATTGTAAAACACACAATTTTCTCTAGAATGAAACTATATGTGAAACGGAGGAAGTAATACTTTCCGAGCTCGTCAAGGAGGAAGAGAGTATGACAACTGGGTTGGAAGATGGTGGGAAAGAGTTTGTCCGTAGGCGGATAGATTACTGGCGTCGGGTGGCCGAATGCGATGTACGTGTACTTGTTTGTTTCCTTAATCTAATATGTTTAATTTCTAGGGTTTTTGATTGGGAACAAGAAGCTATTATTAAATTTGAGAGATTCTTTGGTTAGGGTTTCGATATGGAGGGTGTAATAATACCAAGAGGAATCGCTGGACTGTCGTACGTCAACTGTAAACACCGACATTTTAGGCTTAGGAATAGTTTACCCAAGATTTATGCTATGGCTGGGCTTCATCGCTACAATATGCTCAAGGTTAATGTTAATGTTGATCTGATATATACTGTACTTGTTCAATATATAACTGTCAATGTTAATCTATTATATATACATGTTCAACATTCAATTGAATATCTTTCTCAGGGGACAAATTTCCAGCACTTTGACTTACTTCAATTCAGCAAGTCAGGGGACTTTGTGCGGTCTTATTTCATTACTTCGGTTGCAATAGATCCTTGTAGCCAACTGCAGAAAACCTTTCAGGTTCGACTTGATGAAAAGACCTATGGAAATCTGGATTTGACAATCTCTATTGCCAGACCTACAGATGAAGAGAAAGGTGATTGGGTTGGATCACTTGTCCATTCATTTCTTTACAATATAAAATCTAACTACTGACTATTGTTAATGTTGCCTAGTGACCATGAAGAAGCCTTTCATAGCTCACTTTCATGTTGAAGCAGTGGCCGATGCTTTCTACAAAGGTGCATTGCCAGATTGGCCATCAGCTGATGAGCTGAATAATCGAAAACGTTTTTACCTGGTAAGATTTATAAAGACACTGACCATGATCACTTCTTTTGCTTTGCTCATTCTCAGTCTAGCAGTGTGATCTGCTTTTATCGTTGCTTTCGGTAGGTGACTGAATCAGACTTGCTAGCCAATGACTGGATTCGCTTGTATCTGGAACTTACCCTCTGTGTACGACATAAGGGGACTTCAGAGGTTTTTGTGTTTCTTTGTCATGCATAACACGTGCCTTTTTTTGTTGATAATTTACTTAACAGGTTGGTTTTTGTTGTTGTTGCATACAGAGAGATCTGTCCAAATTGCAGATTCTGACAGTGGCTATAGAAACTAAGGAAGATGTGCAGCCGCCTAATGCGCGACTCAAGGCCAAAAGTGCCATTGTCTACATCACGTTTAAGGGGTTGGCCGAGGCTGAGATTGGTGATGAGATTGGCGAACATGTTGAACGCAAAGCTATTGTTAGAAGAGTCCTGGATGAGTGCTCAGGATACTTGACTCTCCGCGGTGGGTTTTCGAATGGAGAAAAGCCTCTGCATACTGCTGAGCAAACTGTGACTCTACCGAGTGGAGAAGATCAAAATTTGGAGAATGAGTGCAAGCGACCTCGCTTAGACTAACTAAGTTACACTAGATAATAAACGTTTCTGTGTGGTTGTTTAAGTTAAATTCATGAACATACTATGTGACTATGCGTAGGGATATGTTCTATTTGGTTCTTACTTCTCTAAGAATATCTAAGGACTTGCAAGTTGTGCATCTAGGGACATTGTGAAAGCCATGGTTCTGTATTTGAGAAACATAGAAGAACACAAAGAGATTGATAAGACAAACACACAAGGATTTTGAGTTTGAGTTTTTAAACATTTAACCAATTCCTTGGACATTTTCATGTTGGCTTTTGTGGTGCTCTGAGTGGAATGCTAGTTATGTTGGGTTCTTTATGGTCCATTTATCTCAAGTAGTAGAATCCTATGATCTTTTTTGTTACTGGTACGATCAAATCACTGTATTTGATTTAAGGTATAAAAGGTTGATTTCTTTCTTCCATTTTCTATCTTCTACTAAAGCTTATTTGTCATGTTCATGCTACACTTGAAAGTCAGTTTATGAGCAAGTCAAAATGCTTGCTTGATTTCATAAAACTATTTATGTGGAAATCTTACAGATCAAATTACTGATCAGGTTAAACAACTGATCTTACAGAGACACAAACTGCTTCTATCATGAAAAACAGGGGAATAAATCTTGAGTTGTGGAATATATTTCCCTTACATCCTCGCTAGAAATCTCTCCATCAGAATTATATAAAAGACTGTGGAAGGGTTCCTTCAGAACAGAGTGTGTCCAGGTGCTGGATAATATCTCTAATTTAACATATGTCGCTCCAATAACACATTATTAAATGTCACCGAGAGACAAACCTTGTCCGTTTAGACCATTTCCAGTCTTCTAACAAAGTGCATCAATTAGGTTTTGGCTAGTGATAAATCCGGTTTAGAAAGTTTCTTTTTGATCCTTGCATGTGTACTCATCACCCTTCTCTAACTTCTCCATTCTTCATAGCCTTCTTTCTTTTTTCTTTGGCCTATCTACAAGACCGGGGGAACTAACAGCAAACTAAATATGATGCATGCAGCAGCTACTTTAGATATGTGAGAGATCTCTTGTGACTTGAAAAATCACCACCTCCTCCAAGCATCTTCGAAGTCGTGGCTGACAGTTTAGACCAGTGGATTTCAATTTGTCCACGGCAAAGAAGAGCAATGACAAGTTCACAATGCGATCTTGAGTGTATTTGGTGTATAAGAACTTTTCTTTCTTGTATTAGCCAGTTAGCTAGGTCTCCTTCAACCCCCTAACCATTATCCATCATTTCACCAACCAAGCAAACGTCCATTTTCGTTTGCATAATTTGGATGTGACTCCCTGCACTCTGCCTCTGATGTTTTGCCTTGTTCAGATACATTGTCAACAGTAGTTGGATTAACCTCTCTTCCGGAAACTACATTTGTCTGTTTCAAACCAGATGCACCACTCCTAGTTACCCGTTTACAAGCTGCTCTATATATGCATAATGCATTTTCTACAACAAGATAAGAGTTTATTCTGATTTCCTCCAAGGTCATGCAGTCAGGCGTTTCTCAATTAGCAAAGGTTTTAAATACACTTGTAGATTCCTATAATCCTATACTCAAACACTTACTTATATTAGATCATAGTTCTGAAAAAGCGACGTCGCCTAGAGTAACTTAACCTTTGTTATCTTGTTACGTGGATTTTGTTTCTGTGTGGTTTTTTAAGTGCACCGCGTTTCTGAATACAATAATACGCAAACTTAATTATGGACATACTATTATAATTTGTGTGTGTGCATTAATATGGAGACATCTTCTTGGATTTAACTTATCTAAGGACATCAAAGGATTATCTACCCGTTATGCATCTTGAAGTAGGTTGTGTTGGATAATTCCAATATCTTAAGGAAGAAGATATCTCATTAAGGAGTTGCTTAAGGAGATAGAGATAAGGAAATCACAAACAAGATTTAGATGAAAAATCTCATTAATAAGTTTCTATTCAGATTATTGTTTTGTTTCTCTCATACGATGAAAAATATACAAAAGGTGCTTCACAAATCACAATCCATATATATTCTTTATGAATGTAGTCTTCTCTTAACTCCTCAAAAGTAAAACTTTTATTAATTATATTCTCTTTTGCCCCTCACAGGAATGTAATTTACAGGATATAAATTAAAGATGTTTGTTTGCACTTACTTTGTAGAGATCGCTTTCTCTTGTAAGAATAATAATATGTATGAGAAAGACAGAAACAAGAGAGCTTCATACAAGAAAAGAAACTCTCTGGTTCTCTCTTTGGTTTGTTTTTTTTTTTTTTTTTTTTTTTTTTCTTTTTGTGTCGTGTTTAATTATATATTTATATATACAATATATTAGGATATTATTCATTCCTGAATTTCAGTTATAATTCCTCCTATCCATAGACCATCATATATATATTACAAGATTGATAGCTAGATTATAAAAAGGTTTAATTAGGTCTTCACCGCCGTCGTCGTCACTCACCTCTTCTGTCGTTATGGGTGCTGCCGCTTTCCCAGAACTCTTGCCGGTTAGTCGTCGACTCTTTTTTTAGCTTGATTTCAGATATATTCCTTTTTCTTAATTTCCTCCTGCCTAATTAATTATATCCATGGGGATCGCTGGAAAGTGATTGTTTCTTCGTGGTTTCTTTCTTGTAAAAAATATATTGATGAGTTCTATATATATATATATATATATATTCGTGTAAATTAACACTAGAACGTACGTGCATGTGACTTATTAGAGTTGGCTTATTCGTATGTGTAACAAGGAATTTATTTAATTGTCCAAAGTGAGATTATAATGGATATGTTTTATGTTGTAGATGGAAGATAGGACCCTCAAAGACATGTGGAAACTCATACTTCGATATTTCGTCGAGTGAGTGTCATCTAGTATATATTTATTAGCACGCAATATTACTTTCATCGTCCCTAGCTAGCTCATTATCATCTGTACGTACGTACATGTTAAATATATATATGCAAGCTAGCTAGCCTTGTTTCGATTAATCCATATATCTTAATGACAGGATGACATCCGGAGTTGTCTACTCGATAGTGATGCATTCTGTGATCATCAGCGCATATGCATTGCTCACTTTTCGAATTTTCTATACATATGGGTTTGATCTCGGCCAGCTTAGCTATGTGGGAGTCCCCATCTTATGTGGCATACTTGAGATTGTGGCCAGGAGGTGTCACACCTATGAGGAGGACCAGCAAGCTGTCACTAAAATTGGGCATTTAACTCAATTTCTCTCATGTTGGGGTCTCATTGCCTTCTTGATCCCAACGAATCCTACTGAGGTTATAGTGACTATAGTCTATGTTTTCGTTTTGACACTTTATTATTGGTCTTTTTTTTGTTTTGGGCGCCTGTGGTATCCTCGCTATTTTGGAAGATGATCGCTCCCGACCACTGGTTTAAGGTCTTTGGTATCTCTTCTTGAGGGATATTCACCAATATACCTCCTTGGTGATGATATTGAATTATTGATCATCATTTACATTTAGGTCCCCGAAGAAAATAATATTTTGACAAATATTAATCTTATGGAATCTGTTCGTGCAATATATATGGTTTTATTTTGGTTATATTAACCATCTGTTTTTTGAATGTCCTCCAGCCAGAAAAATCTATCCTAGAATAGAGTAGAACTTTAGAAGAAAAATTAAATTATTAAATTCTCCATATATATTTCTAATAATTTAATTATTCTAGAATGAGTTCATAAATTATTATTATTTTTTGCAAAACAATAGACGACTATTAGATGATTTACCTATTTTTTGTGATTATGTTTCATTGCTTAGTTGATATATTTTTTTTTTGTTAGCGTTACATTATATTAAACTATGAATACAATTGTTACTCATATTACACTAGGAATTACGTTTTTAAAAGTAAATCAACAAAATCCAATAAGGCCCAAGTGGAAAACATAACAAACAGTAAAGTAAAATTATATGCTACGACTCAACTAATAAAATAATGTGTGCGTTTTCTGTAACATCCATATCTCTATCTCTATAGGACAGAACGCGCATGTTAGTTATGTAGAACTCAATAAATGAACATATGATAAAGATAATAGCGCAGTCGCACACATGCGTATTTTAAAATATCATACTTATATAATTAAAGTTTGATAGCATACTCGTACGTAAATGTAGAATAGAGAAAGAGGCGCATGGTGATTACATATTAATAATAGCTTTGATACATCTATCACCTTGTATCTGCACCAAATCACTTTTCAGAGTATTCCGACGTTGTTTACTGTCTGCGACACGTTGTTGTGGAAATTGCCACATGAAGAGTCCGATAACAATACCCTCGCACACAACTGCCGCACTGATAACTATACAAATAAAATATCATTTTGTATCATTTATTTTCAATATTTGTATTACTTATAATTGATGTAAATATCTTTCACATCACTTAACTAAATGATTCTAAAAGTGTTGATACAAATAATTCACATTATTTTATTAACAACCGATTCAGTTACATATAATAATTTGCATCAGTTATAATAAATAATGTTAATTTTGTGTCAATTATAAAAAATTATAAAAATTGATTTTTTAAAATCAATTTATTCAAAACGAGTAGTACAGTTTATGTTCACTACTCCAATTTGAATTTCTCGCTACATTAAACATGTTTTTTTTTTCCTCAACATTAAACATGTTTTTTATTGTTCTTTTTGGGTCAAAAATGAAAGAAGAGTGGAGAAATTTAGCTTAAATTGATATTTATTCACTAAATTCCAAAAACTGAACTTGCTTATTTAAAATAAGGTAAATTAAACGTTTTTAAAACTGAAAATTCTATTAAACCTGTAATTATTAATTTTACACAAAGATGTATAAGAAGAAAGGAAAGTAATTTGCACCATAGCATTTAGCACTTAATGTGGGAATCTTGGTGATCACGGCATTTTTGTTTTATTTTTGGCTTGTCCATTACCACTTTTGATAGTCGTCATATCTTTTTTGCCCCTCGAGTAAATATAAATTTACTTTGTATTCTATCTCTCACACATACGTCACCTTTCTGTAGTGTTTTTGTTTTTTGATTTTTTGTTTTCTGAATTATGATGGGTTTGATTTCGTTACTGAATTTTTTAAAAAGTAGTCTAATTAATTTCTTTGTAAAAGTATCATAGCAAAGAGAAATTTCTCCATTGCTACTGATATGTTTCAGTTGGATCACACAACACTACTAGACGATCGTATTATGATTATTGT